CCAGATGACATGATTTTTTTTCCCTGACGTCATGACACCGACAGTGCATGCTGGGATATAATTCAATATGGCCGATCAACAATGTGATCCTTGATGATTGTATTCGCCGAATAAATCAGTATTTTGTGTTAATTGTGAACTAATAAATGCATCCTGTGAAGTTATCGGAACCTGAAAGTGTGTAGCGACCGTTACACCCTTTGTCATAAATCATGTCTCCTTAACACTTCCGTAGGTTTGCGTCGCCGGACATTATGCCTAATATGTACCATTTTTTTATCTGAAATAGTTCGCAAAGTTAATTAATATGATAGGGTGTTGGTGTTGTGGCGCACAAAATCCCATAGACAATACACAGGAAATGCTGCGCCATGGCCCATACACACGATAATACTGAATTAGTTTTACCAATATAAAAAAAAATATATTGTTACCCCCAATTTTACACAAAGGGAATATCCACCAAGCTTTAAACAAACTCAACTTTGAGTGCCAGCTGCAAACCCCAGAACCTATTTTTAAGGGCAGCAATCACCGATTCCATCTGTGACTGATTGTATTTTTTTTTAAATGGTGAATGGGCCGGCCATACGTGCTTGGCAAACTTAGGCGAGTTGGTCAGGAGGCGAGTCGGTAAGGAGGCGAGTTGGATAGGGGGCAAGTTGGTAAGAGCGAGTCGGCTAGGAGGCGAGTCGGTCAGGGGGCGAGTTGGTAAGGGGTGAGTCGGCCAGGGGGTGAGTTGACCTACAACCCTTTAAGATCTTCAAAGCGAACTAACTTCTGTCTGTGACATGCTTCCTGAGAGGTACCACTACAGCACTTGCCTTGACATAGTACGGATGAAAACTTCAGAGTTACAGCCACATGGAGCATTCTCTGCCAGGATCTCATTTGTCTCTCTTCTCTGTCCAGTTTCTCTTCTGCCTTTTAGATCTAATTTTCCTCTCTCTGCTTTGATCAGATTTATTCCCTTTCCCTCTATTCTTCTGTATCTAATTTCTCTGTCCAAATTAATTTCCCGTCATTTTCCCACCATTGCCCTTCTCAATTCTCCCTTAAACTTTTTTTTGACTCTGCCCACAGGTCTCCTTTATTTTGTGAACCTGTCCTGATTACAGTGAAGGACAGTTTTGGTTTCATGATTTTTTCCCCTCTTAGCTGTAAATTCATGGGGAAAAATAGGCAATTTTGTGACAATACAGGGATATATCAAATATGATATCAAATATACATATATTAATATATGAAATTGTCATTAAATTTCATGGACAGGTACTTGAATTACAAGTGTGAAGTTACACCATTCATTTCTTCTTTTATATAAATTAATTGTTGAGTATTTTTTATTAACACAGTTTCTGTTTATCTACTGAACAAAACAGGATATTTTCACCCGCATAAAGCACCAGTGTATAGAGGCACTGGCCAGAGGGGTGTTTGAAAAATGAATTAAAGTAAACTCCGTGAACAATATCATTGGGAATTTAGTTTCTTTTTAACTTGTTTTGATTCTTTTTAATGTATTTTATTGAATGGGAATACATATGTATGTGCTTTGCCAGCCTTAACTGTTTGTTAAAACTGCTAAAGGAAAATGGACACTGATTCAATGCCCCTCACCGGGAGATTGAACATCAATCCTATCCATTCTCCCAAGCTGGTCTTAAATGAACATCTACGACCAGCCAAGCGCATATTTATTCCCACCTATTCAGGACTACAGCGCAATCCCTGAACTGTGCGCAAATACCCAGACAGGACAAAAACGACCTATTTGACTGCTGCCACCGAGGGTCTCATCGTCTCTTTTTCTGTGCTTTCCTCCCCATCTGTCTTCCTTATCTACTCTTCCCCTCTCTTTATACTCTTTCTTTCTCTTTTCTGGTATGAATAAAAAAAAAAGCTGCGAGAAAGAAATTCAGCGAGCTCAAGAGGAACGCATGAGATCCAAACACAAGAGATAGAAATCCATGTATACGATGGCAAACATAGCCAGCCACCAAGAGACGACTTAATTGTAGATAAGCAATCAGATTTTTACATCACCACAGATGTATAGGTCACTGTGTTTACAACTTCTCCAAGGGTTTCAAAAATACAAATCAGACAACCCTTCTTCGTGATTTTTTTTTCCAACTTCACGTTGGCAGGAATGTACATACGTAAATGTGAAGATAAAACATAAATTCCAACTTGGGAGAGTGGCATCATTTTATTTACTACAGAGGGGATAACAACCATTATTAAAATGACAAGTAAAGACCAAAATTTAATGTTCATGACTGTAAACCGTACAGACACAAATCACTAACTACCTTGTTCAAACTGCTAAGCCAAAGGCTAGAATTTTTCCGGCTCGGAGATACAACAGAAGAGGACCAATCACAAATTGGTACAGCTGTGCCCTTCACCGTGTTCAGTGAATGTGATTTGTCAAACCAAACCCCTTCAAAATCCACCCAGTGTTTGGGGCAGGGTTTGTAGGACCAAGGCAGGAGAACTCCAGCCATTTCTGCTTCATATGTGGGCTTGGTATGACCACAGTAAGTCCCAGTCCAAAGAATGTGCCATTGGCTTGTACTGGCACAATACAGAGTGGTGGTGTTTAGAAGATTCAGGAAGGGTTGTTGGATATGGTTAGTGAGTCAGGTATACTACAGACACGTGACTTTAAATTGCACTGCCATTGCAAAATGACACTAAATGCTAAAAAAAAAATGAACTTAACAAACTTAACATTGCAAATTTGCCACTCATAAATAACACATACAGTACATATAGAGTTGTATGACTGAAAACAGTAATGCTGTGAATACGTTGATAGAACAAAAAGTACCACAACATTGAAAGCATTTTTTTCACTCTTCAAAGCGACATGCTGGTTTTTACAGTGGAGTGTCAGTTTGTGAATCATGTTGGGCATCCACTGTGTTATCGTAGCTGGTGCTTGCTGTCACGGCACAAGATGATTGACTGTGAGCAGCCTGTCTTGATCGCTGTCTGCACCGGAATGCCTGATAAAGTGCTGCCCTGTAGTTTGCATTTGTGGCACCATAGATTAACGGATTCACAAAGCAGTTAGTCAGTTGAGGAAGAAGGACAATCCAT